CAGACTGGAGAACAAGCATCTCATTAGAAAACAATATCACTCATGTATAACAACAAAATCTATAATAAGAAACATCGCAGGTTGTTCGTTTCTGCCAAGAAATGGAACAAAACAAAGAAGCAAAGAGGGGTAAATAAAGCCTACATTTTTCACATCGGTTACTTCGATTTCTCAAAGTTCGCACATTTTTCTCATTTGTACAAGATATGACTCAACATTCCAAGATTTCTCATCTCAAGTTTGTTCTAACAATCAGCAAAACATCGACAAAAAGGCTTCAAATTTCTTGAAACAAAACTAGAAAGAAACCACACTAACCAGTATAAAGGCACGCCTCTGCCCTATACGCTTCTTCGCATTCCTTCTTTTCACACTGCCTTCGTTGGGATTGTTTGGAGAAATCGGCTCACCAGGAGTATACTGAACATATGCATAAGGCCCTGCATTTTCCACAAATCAGTTAATTCATCCAAACAATTCTCTGACTATTAACATCAATTCTTCATTAAGAACACATTCACACAACCACATTCCCACTTAGGAGATCAAATACTAAACCTTACTTACACAGGTTTTTACCAAGAAGAATTACTACCAAAAGTTACATAAACAAAAGATCCTTATGAAGATTACACTAACTCAATATCAATCACACAATACAAAGCATCAATCTTTGCGTCACAACAATGAAGTTAAAATGAGGCAATCGAAATATAAAGGAATCAAACAACCATCCAAAGACAAAAAAAGGGGCAAACCTGGAGGTTTCAATTTGGATCTTTTCTTCTTGGGATGAGTCATGGGTCGTCTCTTAGGAAGACGAGTATCAGTTAAGCTTAAGCTATGGAAATGATTAGCCATCGGAATCCATGGTAACCTCAACTGACTCGATCTACCGAAAAAGGAGCATAACTCAGGTTTCACGGACGGGATCGTCGCCGGGAACGGCGCAGATGAGTAGTTAGCGGCGGCTCGCGAAACTAGGGTTCTCGACAATGGTCGGAAAATCGCTCTAATCGCGCCGAAACCCATTTCACCAAAGCATCAGCAGAACAAATTGCGATCTCAAAAAGCTTCTGGATTTAAGCTTTTCCGATAAAATCACTTCACACTGATTCCAAAGTTGAAACGAAAGACTCTCGCTAAACCCTGAAGATCCTCACTCATCACTAATGGGCCTTATTGGGCCTACAAAGTGTGTTTGGGCTTATTAGTGTTGCGTTAGGAGAGGTTTGATAATTTGATCATTACACGTGATCAAATTACAGTATACGATTTTGTAAATAAATCGTGAAGATATATACTCTTTTTGCGAGAATTTATGTGTATATATTCTAAAGATATAGTATAATTATGGAGGAGACTTGCGGCGTAATTTTATACTACTAAAGAATTTGGATCAGATTATTGCAGATTAATATATTATAAGGAAAGAAAATATTATAATCGTTAACGACACCAATTCCAAATATGGAACCCTTTTCGTAAAATGTAGATATAGTTGCCATTTAGATATAGATTATTAAATCCAGTATTAATTATCGAAACCAATATAAATATACACCACTCTCGTTCATTTTTCCAAGAATTACAAAGCTTCTTTTTAGTTTCTTCAAGAGTTCATAAAAGATGACAAGCATGTTTTCGTCAAATCGTAAGACAACTACAAAGCTGGTCCGTTTTCGATCTATG